CCCCCTCCTTCTGTATTAGCTCAAGGCTAAGAGCGCAGGCACCTGTATTGGTCTTCCTGGGCTGCCATAACAAAATACCACAGACTGCGTGGCTTAAACAGCAGACATTTACTGTCTCACAGTTCTGGAGGCTTGAAGTCCAAGGTCAGGGTGCTGGCATGGTCGGATTCTGGTGAGGGCTCTCCTCCTGACTGGTAGACGGCCGCCTTCTCACTGTGTCCTCACATGGCTTTCCCTCTGCTCACGTGCATGGAGAGAGAAAGAGCTCGCTGGTGTCTCCTCTTGCGGGGAGGTAGCTAAGCTCCCAGCAAAAAACCGGGTCCCTTTGGTAGAGTTGCAAGGGATAAGAAAATTAATAGAGAAAAATGGAAAATAAAAGAATACACAGAGACAAAGATATAGTTTTATACGTTTATGAAGATTATAGGCAAAGTGGGATCTCAGGGGGCCTAGACCTTCTCCGTGGGTCTCAAAAAGCCCCAAATGAGGTCTTACATGGTAACTTATAGGGAATAGTGATTAATTGCCAGGGGTCACAGATTTACATAACAACAGGTAGTTCCTCTCAGGTTAACAGATTTTCAAAAGGCTTCTACAGATCCTTTAACTAATTCTATCTATGTGAACAAATGGTTACAAAATCTTTCAAAGGTTGACTTGTAAGTTCTAAGGTAAGTTTATCACTTAACAGAGGGGTTAAACAGAGATATGTTGGCTCCATATTTATTAGGTTATTGTGAATGGAGACAGGTAGTCTCCAGTGTTTAAACAAGAGCTTGCTTTTAGCCATTCGAGCAGCTGTCTGTTCCGGGGGGCACTCCATTCTCAGCTCTCATCCTGTAGTTTTTAACAGATTTGCTTTGCTTTACAAAGCAAATCCAAACCTTTAGGTCTGAGAAACGAGGCGCTTTATGGGATACAGCCACTATTGTCTTTCAGAGACGCCAGCCCTTCCTAGTGCAACAGCATTTGAAATGCAAACCAACTTGTTCACATATTCCTTCAGGGCAAAGCTTTGCAAAACTCCTAAGACAAATCTTGTCTGCAAACACATCTATATTAATTCATGGAGCAACATCCTCTTACCAGGACACTAATGCTCTCGGATCAGGGCCCGACCCTTATGACCTCATTTAACCCTACAAACTTCCTTAGAAGCCCCATCTCCAAATACAACCCCATCTCCAAATACTGGGGGTTAGGTTTAGGGGGGGCACGTTTAGTCCATAATAACTCTGCAGACAAATTGGCTTTCAGTCTCCACTCTGTTGGATAACTAGCTGTGTGACCTCGAGGAAGTTCCTGTAGCTCTTCTAAGCCTCAGCTTCCTCTTGGCAAAAATGGGGACAGTGATGGTACCTATCTCAGGGCATGGTAAGGATTAAATAAGATAATGTATATGATGGGCCCAGTATATAGTAGGTGTCCAATAATTATTAGTTAATGTTATTAGTAGGGTCCTCTGAGTTCTGAGAACGTGTTCCCTCTACGGTGGCCCTAGGAGTGCAGTGTAGCCCCATCTGCAGGACGCTCAGGCCTGTGTGAATGGGCTTCCTGAACCAGGGGGTATTCTTTTGGGGGGTCAAGCCCCTTCAGAGCCAGGTTAGCCTCCAGAGATTTCCAGCAAGAAAGTGGAAAAAGACAGGTTGAGTGGTGGTGGCAGCCCAAGGGTTCCGGAGAAAGGGGGTAAGTGTCAGAGCTGGTGGTGGCAGTTCCATCTCCCCCTCCCTTGCCCGTGTCCTCCCAGGAAGGATGCCAGAGGGAGGGACTGAGCCAGCTGCACCTGAATGAAGAGTCACATTGAATTCCTTCTGGCTTCTTTTTTGCTTAAAGAAAAAGCTTTTGAACATACATTTTCAGATTAGAAAAGGTAATACAACTTATTGTATAAAATTTGAAAAATACAGAAAACTATGAAGAACATAAAAATCACCTGTAACTCTGCTACCCAGAGTTAGCTCCAATAACCTTTCTTTTAAGTCGGGTGGGCCTGGGCCTGAAGCCCAGACCTCCCCCTGAAGTTGTGTGACCTTTAATGGGCACCTGTTATTTTCAAAACCTCTGTTTCCTGCTCCTACAGTGGAGCTAATACTTGCTGCTTTGTTCCCACTTGGTGGGGTTGCTGTGGGTTAAGTGCATGTAAAGTACTGGGCATGGCGTGTTAATTTACTGAGAGCTCTTGTTTCTGGTGAAGATGATGCCTTTGGTTTTGTTCCAGCATGAAAGATCAGGCAAGAAAACCCAGTAAGTCACTATCACACCACCCTTCCAGGTTCTCCACCCGCCAGGTGTGTGCCGTGAGCACGTGAGCAAACCAGTGTTGTCATTTACAGCATTGACGTAATGACTGAGCAGTTCTGTAGCATATTCCTATTTTTCCTCTTACCTTTAAGCTACTTTAAAAGGTGAGGAGTTGCACAGAGGATTAAGTGTGTGTCCTCTTTCAGCAAACCTTACCACTACCATCATTTCCCTCTTCTAACGCAAAAGGAGAACTTGGACCTCTCCTTTTGTAGTCACACGTGGGCTTGGCTTTGTAGTGAGAGAGAGAGAGACTGCATCCCCCAGACTGTCTGGTCTTCCTTTGGCCAGAGTGGCTGTGGCCATTACCTTAGAGCCAAACGTATTTCCTTCTCATTGTTTATGAAATTCAAACTCCAGTTTTAAGATTTTAGGGCAAAAGGTCCCCAGAATCTGTTCAGCTTCATCCCAGATCCAGACAGTGGCTTGTGGCTGTGGCTGTCCCATCATCCCCAATCTCTCCAGCCCAGTCCTCCCCACTGCCTGGTGCCTTCCATACTAGGGGAGCAGGGTCTCTTCTCCCCAGAGGTCAGAGTGATACCCTGCAGGGAGCAGATGGTCACAGAGCACAGTTGTCACTCCCAGCCACCTGTCTTGTGTCCGCCCCAGCACTCCCTTGAGCAGCATCCTCCAAGGGCCAGCTTTTCCTGACAGCAGGAGAACCTAGTGGTCAAGGTGTAGTCAAGGTGCAGCTTATACCAAGAAAGTGTAAACTTTCTCGGTGTTGAGATTCCATGCTCTCCAGCCTGGCCAAGTTGGCAAGAAATGAGCCAGCTGCATCCAGGAGAGCAGGCTAAGCTCTCCAGATATCTGACCTATGTCCTTACGACAGGTGCTCCTTCAAGAGATCCCAAGGCCTTTTCATCCTGGGACACAGCCTTCCCGGAACTTGCCTGGTGGCAGGCAAAGTGCAATGAGCTGGATGGGAGAAGATATGTTGCTTCCTTCCCTCTGTTCGCAGTCATGTGCTGTATTAGGAGGGATGAGTGTTGTCTGGACACAGAGTTGCAAAATAATCCCAAAAAATGAATTGGCCTACAACTGACTGCTTTAAACCATTTTGATTGTGTTAGGGTGCAACAAGTAGATGAGGTTATTCATTCATTTATTCACCAGTTTTGAGTGTCCCATACTGGACGCTGAGGATGAGGAGGGGGCGGGGACAAAGATGACTGATAGGACTTTGCCTTTGGGGACCTTAGTCCGTAGGAGGGAGAGAATCTAGTGCCATGGAAGCAGCTGATCCTGTGAAGGCACAGAGAGAGCTTCTCAGAAGAGGGGACAACTGAGTTGGGTCCTGAAGAATGAGAAGTTTTCTGAGTATGAAATTTGGCTTTTTTGACCTCAGAGACACACTGCAATGGTGTAATCTCCCTCCTTCTGGTCATCTGCCCTATATATTCTAAGTCTAAATGCAAATATTTTCTGTTCAGATACCTAAGGGTCAAGAGAGTTGCAGATCCAACCAGAGTGTGCTCCCTGGATGGAATTCTAATCAACTCATATGACCATGGCTGTCTGAGCTGCCCTTGGCACCCACTCCTTTCCTGTGTGCACCCCGCTTCACTTCCTAGGCCCCCACAGTGGCTCCCCTACATCTCCCACACTCTCCTTAAGTCTGCTTGCTCCTTACCACTCCCAGGAGCCTGTTAATACGGTGGATTACGTTGATTGATTTTCAAATATTGGACCAGCCTTGCATTCCTGGAATAAACTCTACCTGTGTAGTGTATAATTCTTTTCAGATATTGATGAATTCTATTTGCTAATGTTTTGTTAGGGATTTTGCATCTGTATTCATGAGGGACATTGCTCTGGAGTTTTCGTTTTGTGTACTATTTTTGTCTGGCTTCAGTACCAGGCTAATACTGGCTTCACAAAATGAGTTGGGAAGGGTTTCCTTCTCTTCTGCGTTCTGGATGAATTGGTGTTAATTCTTCTTTAAATGTATGGTAGAGTTCTCCAGCTTTTGAAAACTATTGATGCTGGGGGCTCAATCTGGACCAAACAAATCTGAATCTCTGGCCGTGGGGCTTGGGCATAGGCGCTTTTCAAAAGCTCCTCAGATAAGCACGTCGTGCATACGGCTGTGGAGCTTCAGTGTTGGTAGGAACTTCTTGAGCCTAACTCAGGAGCGTGAACGAATAGAATCCTGTGACAGAATGTCATGAACTAGACAGCTGTGAGGCTTGGAGGATTCGGCTCTCTGAGACACGCCCCAGGAGCCTCTGGTACCGTCACAACACCATGTAATGAAGTGGAGACGTTGGTCATACCAGACGTGTGGGTTTGACTTGGCTACTTGGTAGCCATAAATTCCTTAGCAATTTCAGCTTTCTCATCTGTAAACTGCAACTCCTTGGGTTGTTTTGGGAATAAAATAGACAGTAGATGTTAAAATGCTTTAGAACTCACATGGCATTTTGGGAAGGGTCATAAATGATGTTTCTGTGGGCCCCTGCTTCCCCCTTAAACTGCCTCTGTGTCCTGAGTCCCAGGACGTCCCACTGGGAGGCCAGTGGCAGGGTGGTGACCGGAACTGGCTGTGGGACTGGTTTCCTCAGGCCGTGGAGAAACTTCCTCCCCTTCTCTGCTCACTTACCCGGACCATGGAGGTTGGGCTCTGACAGGAAGGGCTGGGACCCTGGTAACATGAGAAGGGACTTTGACCTTGACTGGTGCCCCTTCACCTTCTGTAGGAACATGCTTGCCAATTCAGCCAGCGTGCGGATTCTCATCAAGGGAGGCAAGGTGGTGAACGATGACTGCACCCACGAGGCTGACGTCTACATCGAGAACGGCGTCATCCAGCAGGTGGGCCGCGAGCTCATGATCCCTGGAGGGGCCAAGGTGATCGATGCCACCGGGAAGCTGGTGATCCCCGGAGGCATAGACACCAGCACCCACTTCCACCAGACCTTCATGAACGCCACGTGCGTGGACGACTTCTACCATGGGACCAAGGTAATTTTGCTCCTGCCTGCCGAAGGCGGCTTCCTCTTTGGCGTCTTTATTCTGCTGCTCCAGACCAGACCCATGTGAGCCAGTGCTCCCACTGTGTTGCTAGCAGAAAGAAGGAGGGTGTCTCAGGGGGCCACTGTGGCAACTAGGATAGGTATTTCTGGCTTAATGTCATAGACTGCCATGATTGTGGAAAAGGCGGCACTTAGGCCTGTTTTGCTGATCACATCACTTACCCGTGTACCCAGGCTGGGAACTGATTTTATGTTTATGTTCTTATGTCATGTAATAGAAACCTAGAGGAAGAAGAGAGTAAGCTGGTGTTTATTATTGTGTGTGGGGGGGTGTTGGACTGATGGATTCCTTTTATGTATGATAAGCTGAATTAAATCCCCAGAGACTGTGGAAGACAAACATGCCTCTTCCAGGCAATTAGCTAGCTTCTATTATCTCTCCTAGCTTGTTGATTATTTTTAAAAATGGCTTGAAAAGTACTGGTGGTGGGTTCTCTTTTCAGAGTGAGTTATCATGGATAATACTTAACAGTTCCCAGGCTGGACCTGCGCTGCTTGCCGTAAGTGCCTGAATGCCAAATACAAAAATTCCAACCTGTGAAACACATGAATTAGGAGGAAACTACATTTTGCAAAAAGAGCCACAAATGGGTTCTTTTACCTTTCCTATGTGCCCCAGGGACCTGTGTTGTTGCTGTCATCCCTCTTCCTTATAATGATCTGTCACATGCAGGTCTCTCCTGGGACATTAGACTGTGGGCTCCCTGAGGGCAAGGCCTGGCTGTGTTCCTCTGCTTTCCAGAGCCTGCCACTGACCTGGAACTAGCTACCCTATAAATACACGGGCAGAGGCTGGCCCTGGGGGCATGGGCCTGCCCACCTCAGACAGATGGCCCTTAAAGTCTCCTTGAAGATACCATCCCCTTCCCAATCCAGGGGCTGCAGCTAGACCCTTGGGAAACTGGGCTGTGAGGAGTCACAGTAGCCATTGCCCGGCCTATGTGGAGGCAAGGATGCTCCTTGGCCTAACACTCCGGCATCTGGCTATACCCGCCCACTCCAGCAGAGCCTAGGGAAGACAGGTGGTGTGGGGACCCTGTCTACTTCTCCTCTGAGAATTCCCTCGAGCCCTGCAAGTGATGCTTTGATAATGAAATGGGGAACCCCATTCTCATAAACTCAGGGTCCTCTTGCAGGGTATGCTGGTGGCAGTTGGGACCTTTCTGAAGTGAGTGGGCGTATCTAACACCCCATCCCCACGCCCACGCGCTGAGCCAGGCCAGGCCAGGCTCATAACACAACAGACTATTCAGTTTGTTGTTATTGTTGCCATTTTATTGAAGTGTAAAGTATGTACAGAGAAGTGCACAAATTGTAAGTATACAGAATTTTCACAAGTGAGCACACTTGTAGCCAGCCCCCAAGTTAAGAAACCAAACATTACCAGCATCCAGAAGCTACTTGGAGTCACTGGTCCCCACCAAGGATAACCACGACCCTGACCTCTAATAGATTTTTTTTTAAATAACAGCTTAATTGAGATATAATTCAAATACCATACAATTCACCTATTTGAAGTATACAGGTCAATGGTTTTTAGTATATTTATCATAGATTGGCTTTGTTTATTACTTTATGCTAAATTAAGCAGTGTGTACACTTGTGTTGGCTTCCTTTGCTCAAAAATTCATTCTCCATCTTCTGAACCTGTTTCAAAAAAGAAAATTCATTCTTTTGCGTGTTGTTGTAATCCATTCACTTTCATTGCTTTGTAGTATTCCACCATGTGATATACCACATAGTACTTATCTATTTATCAATGAGCATTTGGGTAGTTGCCAGTTTGGGGCCATTTATAAACACTGTCACTGTGAACATGTTCTTGTACATGTCTGTGGCAAACACGTCCGTACATATTTTTTAGGCATATTCCTAGGAGCAAAATTGCTGGGTCATAGGGTACACGTATGTTCAGCTTTAATAGATGATGCCAAGTAGTTTCCCAGACTGGCAACAATTTATCCTCCCAGCAGTAGTGTAAGAGAGGCCACAGTATTTAACTGCAACAAACTGATAACCCACCAGTCCATGCTGGAGTCCATTCTGTAGTATTCTCAAGCCTTGCACCAAAAATTGCAGCTTTCTGGTTACTGTCCCTGCTTTTGGGATCCCTTTAATCCAGGGTTAGATGCCACATGGCCACAATGCTGACTTCCAACCTCTCGGAGGGCAGGCTGGCCTTCTTTGTCTTATTTTCCCCATTGTCATCTGCTGGGGCCTCATTAGCCAAGAATGACAGGTTTTCCCCAGAGAGCCATCAGCTCGTTATAGCCGGTGAAGCTGTGCACGTGTATCTTTGTGCAAGGTGCGTAACTCTTGATCTTCTCCAGGCTCCTCATCGCCGGGGGAGCTGCCTCCAGAAAACGTCCGAAGGCTCCTGTGTGATTAAAGGCCCCAGATCTCCCATGCCTGAAGGTTCAGGCTGCCTCAGGAACCCCAGTCTATGCCAGGCCCTACTTGTGGGGAATTTAAGAGACCACAGACCCTAAGTCTCTTGGCTGCTGGTGTCACCTAAACTGACACTTTTTTATATCCATCCCCTAAGTAAGATCGTACCTTGTCGCTGTGCGCCAGCCCTCATATTGAGCCTCTGCCTTGGTGACACAGCCCCTGCCCCAGTTCTGCCTGGAGCCTTTCAGTGCATCCTCCCAGCCTCCTAAGAGCAAACTTCCCGCCCCTGCACCCCTCCTCTCCACTCCTGGATTTCCCCTCACGAATGCTTCAGCTTCCTGTTGCCTCCAGTTCCTGAAAATCTCCTGGGGAGAGAAAATGCTCTCCTGCTGAAACACTGATCTGGGGACGTGTGGATTTAATTATTCACACTGCCGGTGGTGCTCGTGCAGAGACTGTGCACCCTGATAGACCGCCGCTGACCTACTTAGTACACTCTGAGAAAGGTTGATTCACTTTAAGCATCTGGGTTTATAATAGAACAATAATCCCAAGGAAAAGCTCACCCAAGTGATTAACCAAGAGAGAAGGAGAGATCAAGTTGCATCTTTTTGTTCTTGACAGACAGATCACGGGGCCTTCAACCCTGCACCCCCCTCGGCTACTGAGTGCCTGTTGATTTGGCAGCAGCAGCCATGGCTAGAAAAACAAAACAACTGAAAGCCTGGCCTTTCTGAGAACATCTGGGTCTCCATTGTACTCGGTCTACAGGGATTTCTCTCTAGCACTTCTTTAGCAAATGCTTTTCTGGCCTCCGCCTCTTTCAGAGGCCGTGGCAGGCCCTGTGGCAGGCTCTGCCTGGCTCCCCTCTCACGGCCAGGTCACCTGACCCTCCTCCCTGCCCCAGGCACCGCCTCCCTGACACCCGCTGACCTCCAGGTCCTGCCCTCCCCAGGCCCAGAACCAGGGTTTATGGAAGATGCCAGCCAGGACCGCTTGCTTGCTGATAATACAGACCCCATTCTAGAAGGTTATCCCCATGGGGGCGGTGGTGAGGAGAGAGGCCCAGTGACACCAACTGCATTGGTCAAGGTCTGGGATTGTGGTCAGGTCCTGGGGTCTTGTATTATTATTCTGCTTAACTTATGTAGCAGTTACATTTATTCTTTGCTATGTATCTAATGTTGCAGAATAAAGAATGTTCATACAGGCTCTTGAGCTCCACCCACTGATGGTTCTCCAGGTGGAAATACCAGAGTCAGGTTTTTAAAACTTGAGGCATCAGCCCCTTCACTAAGGTGTTGATAGAAGGGGCAGGCATGTGCAGCTGAAAAAAGCTTCCTACATGCCTCTTCTGCCTCCCTCTCCTCCAAAAATATTTTAAGAACTGCTGTCTAGGCCAATGATTCTCAACCTTTGGAAGAGAATTACATTAGAACCACTTGGGGAATTTTTAAAAGCCGAGACCAGTTAAATCAATGTCTCTAGGTCTGTCTCCTCCCCCACCATCCCTGGTGACTCTAACCACTGGCGGGCAGATTATTAAGGGACTTTCTTGGTGGTTTTGAATGGCACAGCACCCTGGCTCTACTGTCGCCCGCCTGACCTGCGCCTGGGGTGCTCTGTCACAGCTAACATCTGGATCCCCTGTGGAAGCCAGGGCCTGCCTTGCCTTGCCTTGCCTTTGCTGGTCTTATGTATTTGATTCTCTCTTTTATTCACATTCCTGGGCCCCCAAACCCCAGGCTGGTGCCTAGAGCTCCTGTACTTGCTAAGATTTCCTGGCCTGGAAAAGAGAGGAGAGAGAAGTTGGCACTGGTAGAGATGTCATCAAACAGAAGTACAGGTGGGCCTGGTGCTCTTCTTTGAGGGCCCAGAGACGCCCTCTTGTCTGTGCCAGGGGCTATGCAATCACAGAGACAGCCTCCTGCGAACTCAAAATTAGCATCAGCAGAACTTTCCTTACAGTCAACCTACAGAGGAAGCCAAATCCTAACCCGAGGAGTGCTTGTCCAGCATGGGATCAGCCTAGGGGACATTCAGTGGCATAGATTAGGACAGCCTGCCACATCCCGTCCCTGATGGAGGGTCCTGACCCTCCCTTCCCCTCTCCTGCTACAGAGGCTGGGACCCTGTCTGGTAGGGCCCTGAGAGATGCCCAGCTAAGACATAAATAGATTCCCTTCGGTGTTCAACCCTGCCATCATCCTTACCAAGGACCCCATTTATCCATTGAGTAGATGATTTTTGCTATTTTTATCTTTGAAATTTGCTCTCTTGGAATTAAACCTTTATTTTAATTAATTAATTAATGTTTTGAGACATTGTCTCTCTATGTCACCAAGGCTAGAGAGCAGTGGCGTCGTCATAGCTCACTGCAACCTCAAACTCCTGGGCTCCAGCGATACTCTTGCCTCAGCCTCCCGAGTAGCTGGGACTACAGGCACTCACCACCACACCTGGCTAATTTTTTCTATTTTTTGGTAGAGACAGAGTCTTGCTCTTGCTCAGGCTGGTCTTGAACTCCTGACCTCAAGT